TATTACCTTTAAAATTATTTTACATTTAATGAGAAGATATTCTGTTATTTAAAAACATTATTATATATAACTTTTGCACCTTTAAAAATGGATGGTACTAGAATTATATAATATGTATGTATGTGTATATAGATATACATGCACATTTACAGACATATACATACATGTTTAAATTTAAAAATAGAACATCTTAAACTCAGTGATAAAACAAATATTATTGGAAGCAAAAATAAATTAATTTCCATTCAGACAGATGTAGTGATGATTCTGTGTCAAAGGGTCACTGTATTTTTACTGATTTGAAGATGGATATCAGTCAGCTCACTATTTCACTTTTCCAGTTGATTTCGCTAATTATCTTTTACCGACCCCCCCGGTTGCATCCGTCTGAGTTTCTCCCAAGCCCTTTCCCCGCCACCTGACAGTCTACCTGCATCCTCCCTGCTTTGTTTGGGAACTCCCTTTGCTCAGGAAAATGGGATCTGTTACCCCGAAATGATGCATGTCTTTCTCTTCCTTGATCGGCACTGGTGATCTTCCTGTGCATTAGGAACTTATTAACTGTGAAAATCATAGCTGTAATTTGTTGAGTAGGCAGAGATAGTGGATAGATCACAGATTTCAAGTGGAATCCACACATTTTGAAGGTCAGGTGAGGTTAATTCATAATGGGGTCAGCATGCTTGACTTAATCTTTGCTGGTAGGACACAAAGAAGTTCAAAAGTCTTGAAAAGAAGCCTAGCTATTGGATGCATGTGCATTCATGCCATTTGCGGATAATTTTGTGTGCAGAGATTTAGGATTCACTCAGATCCCTTACGCCTTACTCTGCTTTATACCTACGATGCTAAGCAGGCCCATCTGCAGAATTGAGACATTTGAATATACGATGAAACAGTGCATGTTTGGGCCAGGATGAGAAGCTGTCATTTTTTATTTGATCAGATTTGAGCTATAGATCTTAGATCACACATGGGACCCAGCCTTTGGCTATTCTGGATGGAATGCATTTCAGATGGTGCAGCTGATTTACGAGAATAAGGTGTCTGAGACACTGATCCTTGAACCTTCCATTAACTATCTTATAACAAATGCATGTTGGGCTAAAACATCCCTCTTTAAACAAAAGAGAACATTTTTGGGGTAGATAATACAGATAAGGTCCTGATTCTGAGTATGAGAACATCTAACTTATTAGCATCATCATCGAATTTCATCAAGTATACAGCATTGCACTTTTCTGACATTAACATGTCATATGGTTGTAATATATGATTATATGTTATATGGTCAGCTCTGTGGACCAATTCATGATAGAATTTCTCTTTAAAGGTGAAATAAATTGCACTTCCAGAACTATACAAAGTTGGTTATATTTTACACGAGGTAAAAGATATTAGAGCATTAAAAGATGTTAAAGTTCATTCAGTTCGCCTCAAAGAGGTGCAACGTTCAGAGTTAGATCTCGTGAATTCTTTTTTAAAAAGAAATTGTAAAAAGCTAATATATTGTTGAGAGTAAAAACTGCAATGCAGGGATAGTTTTAAAAATCATTCTATTAGATAATATTTGACTCTCAGGTAACAATATTATAACATGAATTTCCTTTCTCTTTTATAATGTGTATGAATCTTTCCCCGATGGCATCTGTTCTAAATCAGTCTATTTTCCCATTGCTTTTAAAATCCAGCCAAGGTTAATCTCCTATTCCATGTTTGCTTTCCAGGCATTAGTCATGAAGCTGCTGATGAAAAGGTGATTTTTGGCATTGAATTTAATTCAACCTTTCTGGAATGTATACCTAAATCCCAACAAGCATCTATTAAGTGGTATATCCAGCGGTCAGGAGATGAACATCGGGAGGAGGTGAGTTACAGTCATCAGAGAATGCTCGCCTTGAAGGAAATAGAGTAAAACCTGAATCAAGTTTAGGTTGTGAGAGATGTTCGACTTTTAGTGCCAAATGGTGCTCTTTTCACTATTTGATAACAAGGAAAATAAAATTTCATATATTCTAACACCCAAGGTAACAACGCCTCTGAGATAAGAATAGGCCAATTTAATGCAAATGTGTTAATAAAATACATTTAAAGGCAGATTGATTTTTTTTAATTTACATGATTCTTTTTCATAGATGGTCTATATTTTAGAAGAATTCTCTGATTGAGAACAAGACTCCTCTCCCCCACAGTAGCACAATGACTAAATTCTAATTCACACTGTATTCCATTTAGAGTATAAAATCAAACATGTCATGTTTGTATAAAAATGGAACTATCTACCTTATCATATCATATGAGCAAGTTGGATAAGTATCTGGACATACGTACCTTTAAACTCTTAGATATTGAAATTAAATGAACAGATGTAAGTAATATGAATGCTATACTCATCTTTTGACTTCTTTTTCTGTTTCAGTTTATGTAACACATGGTTAAAACATATCACAGATTTTGTGAGGCAGATAGGCTATTCATGTTGCTAAATTGAATGAGATGAGTTTGGGTAGTCTGAGGAGTCTAATATTTGAATGTCAAGATAGAAAGTTTAATTGACTGAATTTTTAAATTTCCATACTAATGCCTATGAGAAGCCAGTGATATTCAATCTAAAGTTCTAAAAGTCCCAATATTAAGAACACTGCAATGGTAATGGGATGAACACAGGATCAGAATTAGATGTCTTAAGTTGAGTCACAATCCTGAGTCCTTCGGTAATATCTCTGAGCCAGAATTTTCGAAGGTGAACAAAACAAATGCAAAAGTGACTGTCAAAATGAGAAAACACATACAAGACTGTTGAATTTCATAGCAGAGGATTACTCACAAGTGTAAAACAGGCATACAAAATTGTCGATACTGTCTACCTGGGAGGACGGGACGTAGGAAATACACTGATGATGTGTTCGCCTTGACTGCTGAGGGTTCGTGAGCAGGTTCTGACTTCTCTAGCACTCAGTTTCTCTGTCGTATCAGTAGGTGGACCAAATACTCTCTAAAATATCAGCCTCCTTGTTCAGTCTGTAAACATTTAAATCGTATATATGATAGGTCAAACATTAGTGTGGAACAGTGGTTCTCAACTTCAGACAGTTTTGCTCCCAGAGTATTCCCATTTAGCCATCTCTGGAGACATTTTTGGTAGCTGGGTGGGTGGGTGGAGGATGTTACTGGCATCTAGTGGGTCGAGGTCAGAGATGATGCCCACCATCCTACAGTGCACCGTCTCTCACATCAGTAATTTCCCAGCCCCACCCAAGTGGCGGCGGTGCTGAGGTGGTGAAACCTTGGAGTCGAAGACGCAAATTTTATGATAAGAAATTGATTTAAAGATTTGTTTCACCATTACATTAAGAAGTTACTATCATTCTCTTCATCTAAGAATAATTTCGCTATCAAAATGTTGACCCTTTATGCTTAATATTAAGGGAATTACTTCATTCTTTATGCCCTATTTCTCCAATAAAACTTGATTTTTCATAGCTACTGACATCCATAAATTTTAAGGATATGGCATATCCACATCTATGCTAAATGTTTATTTAAAGGGTCTTTTTTAATAATATGTATTGAAATTTTATCTGATATAGTAGTGATTTAATTTCAAAACATAAAGCATTTATTATTTATCCAAGAAATACTGGAAGGATGTTATATGATTTTTTTTTAACATGCAGATTTTCCTTTGGTTCCACTGCAGTATTTTACTTTTGAGAATCCCAAACCAGTATTTTTTATTTTATAGTTAATGAAAGTTGATAATTTCTTTTCAGTTAAATATAATTCTTTAATAATGAAAAATTTAACCTGACTTTTAAAAAATATGGAACTCTGCTTGGAGTATTCTCCCAGTTACAGATATGTATATTTGCCTATGCTTTCTGCGTTTACATCTTTCATGTTTCCTGAAAATGCTTTGCCTTATTTTAATGTACCTTTTAGCAGTATATCATACAGTCATGGTGGTTCCATGCTCCATGAATTTCAATGGAGCAGAAATAGTGTATTTATTGAATTATACTTAAAAGTAGTTTAGCTATAATGTTTCAGCTGGTATTTTCATCTATCTTTGTAAATAGGTAGTTACACCTTGTCCCGGATATGCAATACTGCTTCCTGAGCTGAGGAAAGGGGCAAAATGCAGACTAGATTTGAAGCATTTTCCCCAGCAGGATACCCTCTGCTCTTTATCAAGAAGGTCATAGTTTGAACTCCTTCTTCCACCTCCCCCCCTCAAAAAAAAGCCTAAGGGAGGGCCCAGGATCTCCTGTGGCACAGAGGCTGTCACCAGGTTATTCTCAGCCAGGAGGAGAACATTTCCTTGCCGAGTTGTTTCACAGTTGGGTGCTGCTGGGGAGGTCATGAGTCAGTTATCTGCTGACTTTCTTACAAAGCTGTTCTCAAAATTGATGATGTTTATGCTGTAACTAGCAGGTTAATCGGCAGTCCCCAAGCTTCTGTTGAACTTTTCAGATCTGAATAAATAAAAAAGGCAATAGCTTATGCCATTTGTAGGAGTAATTTTTCTATGGATTTTTAAAATGTTTTAAAAACATCTTCAAATATTTGCATTTTTCTATCTGGAGGTCTGTTTTATTTGTGTTGCTTTTAAAAACAATATAAATGGTTTTGAAAATGTAGTAACATGCAAAGAACTATGAGGTCACTAGGTGTAGATGAGCACAGACACTATTTTGCTGTCTATTCTAGCTTCTTTTTCCCCACTATTAGACTATGAGCAGTTCCCTCTGTCATTCAAGTCCAATGCCATGTTTTCCTGTCCCTTACCCCTGCCATCCTAATGCCATAGTCATCCACAGACGTACCACCCTTTATTTAAATAGTTCATGTATCCGCTTTAAAAAGGTATTCAACTTCCCTATATCTAAATCTTTCTCTACTTGTCTGTTTTCTTAGGACAGATTCTTAAATGAAAAAAAGGTGAGTTTCAAAGGCTTTAATTGTCTTACCACCTGGGATAAACAACTGCATATTGCTAATTTCCCATCAAAATTACCATATTAGTGCCCTTTCTGAACTCCCGAGGCAAAATTATGTATTATGATTTAAGGAAACCGTCACCAGTCTTTATGAAAAGTATTACTTTATGTTAATGTCTATTTCTTTGAGTATTGCTACATGAACTTACCTTCTCATGTTTCTTGACTGTTGGTTTCAGCTGTATTTGTTCTTTAATTCTTACCTGACATTTGCTTAGCTTACATTAATTTAAAATTATTTTAACAAGCCCTTTATATGTTATAGATATTAACATTTTAATATTATGTACATTATCAGTAACTTTTTATGTTTTATATCTAAGGATTTTTGTGTTCCTAATGCACAAAAGTTAAATATTTCATGTAGACAAATCTATTGATTTACATCTGTACTATTTATCACTTGTTATGCTTAGACATTCCTTCCCCAATGAAACAGCAAATATATATTTTCTAGTGATTTTATGACTTAATTTTTACAATTACAGCTTACATTTTATATTTACATTTACTCAAAGATACTAAATTATCAAAGAGTGAGTTATGTATAAGTTCAATTTTTTTTTCTTTTAAATCATGAGCCAGTTGCCTCAGTGCTAAATTGAAGGAGGGGGAGATTCTTGAAGCCCTAGTCACTTCCAACACACGTACAAGGCTTTAGCTATGAAAGAACTGACAGGTAAATTATCTACAAAGGAATTACCATTAGGCTGCTATTATCAGAGAACGAAGGCTCTGACCTTTACCTGCTGCTTAGTACCTAACTGTCCTTTGTCCCTTTCCATGTTTCTCTTCTCATTTTAAATGAATTGCCCTTCACTGAAGATCTACATTTAATAATGCCAAATGTATTATCCTTGTTCACATTAGGCAAATGGATAGTCGACCCCACTTCAAGCATGGTTTTGATTTGTAAGTCTGAGCAGTTTTTACTTATCACTTCTAGAGTGGAGAAAATTCCACGAGTTTAAATCAGTGGCCAGAGACTACATTATCTCTTTGTAGAGGAGCTGCATTTTCTAAATTGACTGTGCTGACATTTCACTGTCGAGATGCAGTCTGCATAATGCATCCTATTCCAGCATGGAATGAAAGCATTACAGAGAATGAGAATGTAAAGTAGGCAAATGTTAGTCAACCACTTAATTTCTGGGTCACAGATTTCTATCTCTAGATTGCAAAAATCCTATGAAAATATATCAATTCACAATGTATTTTATTAGGGATACCATTTCATTAAAGGCATATGTTTGCAATTTTAGGGAAAAATCACTGAAATAATCTAATAGACATTAAATAAATCCAGAAAGAAGTTCATTAAAGCAAGCTTTATATCTGTAGGTCAAAAACCAAAGAAAAATTATGCATTCGACCAAAGAAAAGAAAGGTGAAGAACCACGATGGACTAATGAAATGCCAGGTGTTTATGAACCCCTGAATCCTGCAGGGACAGAAGTAGACTGGAGAGGAGGGAAGGGGGCCAGACTTCAGAGTAAAATAACAAACAGGACATACACACAAGAAGACCCCAAAATGATGAACTGTTGTATAATATGTGTAAAATCACAAAGTTATGTTCCTTTTTGTCAGAAGCTTAAAAAGGACAATAAAAAGTAGTGAGTCAGAGCTGTGACAGTCTCTAAAAGCCACGTTAAATGCAGTTTAAACATTAGCAAGAATACCAGCTATGAAAGGAAATCTAGAGATGAACTGGAACTAAAGGCACCCACTTTGATCATCATGCTAATAACCACAGGCCATTTTCCATTAAAGAATCACAGAACTAAAGGCTTCAGAACATTACCTCTCCAGCAACTTGGCAGTAGTCTATGATGTTGCTAATAATGCCTCACACTTAACCTTCCAAGAGCTTTACTTTTAACCCCCCAAAACCACCATCTGCTGTGTCACCAACTTGACAAATGAGAGACCGATCGGGGAAGATAAATGAGTTAGTCTGAGGGAGCAGAGCAGATAGGGACCAGAACCTAGGCTGTGGACTCAGAATTTCATGATCTAAGATTTATTTAAGTTAAAAAATAATAATTCCTACAATAAAATTGTACAAAGGGAAAAGATATACATAGTGTGTTAAATTTGACTTTGATATTTTTGTTTAAGACTAGACCTTTAGAAGCCTAGAGATTCAGGTTTAACTTTAGGCAGGAGATTCCTATAGTTCCTGAGAATGTAAGTGAATTCAACATTTGTATTACAGTAGCATTTTAAAATGTCTGGGCTATTAGAATAAATCCATTAGGAAAAAAAAAATACTACACACCAACTCAACAAATGGGCAAAGTAAGGGAAACAAACAAACAAAACGCTGATGGTGTAGATTCACTGTGGAGCCAAGACAGGGCTGCAGACCATTCAACCTCATTAACTGGGGATCTGGGCTGTGACCTGCCTTTGGCCTCGTGTGGTGCCCCGCTAGCTGCACTTCTCTGGCACAGAGGGTGGTGGGCCATATACTTGTTAGTTAACTGGGCTGATAGCCAGAGATGTTTCTTTTCCTTTTCTCATATTTCCAGAATTGGAGGGATTTTTCCTACATATTTTTCACATAAAGATGCAAAGTATAGTCCACCCACTGTGAATAAATTTAATTTAGCCGTCTTTATGCCTCCTTGATTTCCATCAACTCAGAGTCTACAATACAGGGGCAGATGTGTAAACTGGGAAATCTTCCAGACTTCTTTGTTCTTGTTATTCTACTTAATGCCGAGCCACTCCACAATACCCCACATTAGCCAGGGCTCTTGTGTTGGTAAACATGCCTCTAATTTATTGAAGATAGGTTCACTGTTCACACCAGATTGAGGACCAGGCAAACTTAAATGTTTGAATTGCCTTTCAGTCCTGTTGCTTCAAAGGGCAAAGAGCATCACATTTCAGGGGAGGTTCTTTTTGTTCATTGAGCTTTCTCACACTTGAAATCACATTACCGTGTTACAGTATACTGAGGTATGGCAAACATTTCCACAGATGACATAGTCTAAAGTATCATATATACACACAGTATCAAAATTCAGTCTATAGCAAAAAAAAAAAAAAAAAGAGAGAGAGAGAAACTCAGCTTTACATGTTGCTAATCTTCTGACTGTAAGGTCCTGCTCAGTTACAGCTAAACATCCAAAAGGCTGTATCCTCCATGCCTTTCCACTTGACTTTTAACAAGTCACCACTTACAGTTCCCATATGCTATTCAGGTCACTTATTTGGTGATATCTAGAAAACAGAGTAAATCCCTATGGAATTGTTGTTCTCTTCTATATTACAGGGAGTGGCGTGCACTAAAGCCCGTTTTCTACACAGTGACTATCACATTCTAGCTCTGAAATTCAGATACAAATTGGTGTTCTTTGTACACCAATTAGTATCTGAAATTTTAGTAAAGACAGTCAGTTAATAGTTTCCAGGTTTACTTCATTAATTTTCACAGGTTTTTATTCCTGTCTGTAGACTGGGAGAAAAAAACTGTATTCCAGAGGTTCAGTTAGATGTAGTAAGATGCAAATATGCATCTTTGGGGGCTGTTACTTTAGTTGAATTTTTTCACTCTCTCTGACTGTGGCTGACAATATTATACTTAATGACAGAGAGATGGGGAATATATCTTTTAGGTTCATCTGAGTAAAATTACGTAGCCTCTTTGCATTTGCTCCCAGTCCTCTCTGTTTCTCATTTATTACCTACATTTTTCCAATTCTGCAGTTGAAACCCGATGAAAGGATCATCAAAACAGAATATGGGCTACTGATTCGAAGTTTGCAGAAGAAGGACTCTGGGATGTATTACTGCAAAGCACAGGAGCACACTTTTATCCACACCGTAGTGAAGCTGACTTTGAACGTCATTGAGAATGAACAGATGGAAAATACCCAGAGGGCAGAGCACGAGGAGGGGCGGGTCAAGGACCTCTTGGCTGAGTCACGGTTAAGATACAAAGACTACATCCAAATCCTTAGCAGCCCAAACTTCAGCCTCGACCAGTACTGTGAACAGATGTGGCACAGGGAGAAGCGGAGACAACGAAACAAGGGCGGCCCCAAGTGGAAGCACATGCAGGAAATGAAGAAGAAACGGAATCGAAGACACCACAGAGACCCGGACGAGCTTCCTAGAGCAGTGGCCACGTAGTTTCTATTTAATTTAAAGAAAAGAATTTTTTGCCTGCGGAAACACTGTCTCTGTTTCGTAATCCTTATGCTAACTCTTAAGAGCTTTCCATGGAGTTTTGCCAAAGCACAAGAACATGACCTGAATAAGGTCCTGGACGGTGGATACGGCACTTGAGGACAAACCATTCATCTGAACCAGTTTCAAGATCTGAAATTACACTGCCGTGTCAGAACTGGCCTCAAAACAGGGGCTTCCCGTTTGCAGATGTTTTATTTTCTGAGTTTTGAATTTATTATGTCATGCAAACAACTGAGCTAGGGAAGCATGGGATCTGGTTACTATAAGAAGGCGCTTTGTTTCCCTCTCACGGCCTTTAAGCATGGAGTTTACCATGCAGTTGTGCTGCATGTTCTTATGAACAGATATGTCATTCCACTCTAGAACTGGCTACTTGGTGGTAGGGATGGGAAGGAAGACACAAATTCATACAGCTCACATTCTCAACAGGAGCTTTTCCAGTGAGCCATTCACTCTGAGTGCATGGTTTAGGAATTTGGAGAGGTGCATTATTTCTTTCAGACCCCAGGGGTTACATTTAGTGTCCTGCAGCATTAATTTACTGAAGGGCATAAATGCTCCTCCCAGGATTCCTTATGATTTGTCAGGAGTCACAGGTTCACAGAGAGAAGCTGGTGCTCAGTTATGTCTTTAGGATATATGCTGAGTTTTACAGGGACAGAATGCTTAATAAATATTTTAATAGGCTATGGGAAAACATTTTAGTAAAATAAGGGAAACATCATGATGTAGACTGCATCCTAATGGGAAGGCCTGCAGTGGGGATTTGTTTAGAGATAGAAGGAAAGACAGCCATAAATTCTGGCTTTGGGGAAAACTCATATCCCCATAAAAAGGAGGAAAAATCACAAATACAGTGGGTGAAGTGTAATGTAGCTTTATCCACTAGAGTATATAAGTAGTTGCCAATTTGTAATCCATCTGTTTGAAAAATTCTAGGCTATATAACAAACTGCTAGCAAAAGTCTGAGGGAAAGTAAATTTTCTGAAGGATCATGGGAAGAATGAACACAAATTTATTTATAACTAATGGGGTTTTGGTGTGCACTTCCTCTCTTTTTTCTAAAAATTCATCATACTCTATAAATTATTTCTATTTACTGCCTGTATTCTCTCCTGACTATTGGATTATTAGATTTTATTTGAGTGAATAGGAAAAAACAATATATACATACGTAGAGAGATAGACTTAGTTAGACAACAGTGGTGGGAGCGGGGTACTATGTATTTGTTGAATAACAGAACAAATGCAAAAATTCTGACAACGGAAAGGGTTAAATTAACTCTTTGACATCTTTTCACAAAATCTTGCATTTCTGAGGTTACATGCTGTAATTCAAGTAGCATTGTTTTAGTAACTTAATAAATAAGCCTTAAATAAGCCTACTTCATGTAAAAAAAACAAGCAACATTAACATAAACATTTTTCATATTTTGTTAGCACTTTCAAATGTTTCCAATTTGGCCTTCCCTCTAAATATGTATGGTGTGTTTCCTGCCTGTTCAAAGCAGGACTCACCTTTCCTTCATATAACACAAAACCCTTAGCCTTCTTCTGTTTTGCCTTTTCACGCTCTTTTTAGTGTGAAATGAAAAATTAGTCACTTCCTCACATGGAAGGCAGCTTTTCAGAAAACTAAATAGCAGACACTGCTCGTTTCTCATGCATTCTACGCATCTTGAAAGTAAAGCCTGTGAGAACCCATCTGATTAGAGGGCAACTTACTATAGAGTTCGGCATCATGTCTGTGACTGGCTTTACGTTCAAAACATTCTATCTTAACATTCCTTTTACTTGCAATGCTTACCTATCTCAAAGTAGTCACTGATACATGAGGTTAAGTCATCTTTTGATACAATACTCATAAATATTTGTAGATGTTTTACTATAAGGAAAACTTAGGAAGGTAGGTTTTTCAAAAAGTGAACCAGAACAAATCACTCTTAAAAAGTAATCCATAAGGACAGTTATTATACTATCAGACTGTTAAGTGAATACCGTAACAAGACTGTTTGTAACTATTCATTTGCTGGCTTAAAATGTTCCAGGAACTCATAAGATGCTCTAAGTATGTAAGTAGGAACTTGTTTTATTTTTAAAGGATTTCCAACTATTTGTATATCAGACAGTAATGATCAAATTATGGATAGCTTTGGGAAAATTACACGAAGCTCAAATGTTAGGATTGACTTGTGAAAATAAATTTGGTTTTCATCAAAATATGAATGTCCAAGCCATTTTTAATTAATTCTTTCTAATCTTAGCTATTCAGAAAAAATTAAGGGCAACTTATTTTACTGTACTGCTAACATTCTGGCTGTTTTGGATCTAAAACTATTAATTTATGATAATTACTTTAAAAATATTTGAAATATTTTTAGTGAAATAAATAGTCATATAATAAAAACATGTGGGCAAAGATTTATGTGTATTTATAAAGATAGAAGACATCAAAGCTACGTTTAATTTAATCTTTTAATTGCCTAGAACACTAAGAGGAACAGTGTGAATATATTCAATCTAGAGATAAGACACAATACATAGTTCCTCACCACTGAAGGTTTTTTCTAAATTTTCTTTGAAATAATGAAAAATAAGATTATAGTTAATAGTTTCAAATATGTTTGCTAAGAAATCAGCTCTTTATGGAGAGGTCTTAAAAGGTCTATGTTTATTCTTGGTTTCATGTTTTTCTCCCATTTTGAATACATATATCTCTGACTTACATATTCTCCCCTGCATTTCATTCCAGTTGTTTATGCTGCTGAATGGAATCCTGACTGTCTGCATTCGTTTACATTCAATTTATTGGGAATTTTAAGGGTTTGTTTAGAAATGGATCATCTAAATAATTTATGTAGAACCCATTTCTTCCCCACCCCCTGCAAAGAGTTCAAAACACTACATTCACATTATTGAATAAACATTTTTGAAAACCAACCAGATTACTTAAGAAATGGAAAATACAGAGAAATTTAGAAATTTGCAAAAGCCACAACAGTAGTAGAAGAATTGTAATTCACACTGTACCTCATCAGTCTGCTGGCTAAGTAATGCTTATTTATAATATGCTGCCTGCAAAATGGTCTTACTCTTGAATATATTTTTTGGTCTATGTTTCGGTTCTTTATATGCTATTAACTTTTGTTCCTGCTGAATTGTATAGACTCAGCTAAAAAATAAGTTTACAGTTGCCAGGGCCTGTTTTTCAACTTGATCAAAATTAAATTTTCAAGGACAATTTGATATCATCCAGGTGTCTACAATATATTAAATTGAACAAGAGCATTAATTAAACACTGATGTTTTAAACTCAAATATGATATATTTTATATATATTATAAATACAAGTGGAAATCAAAACTGAAGTAGCTTCCCTTTACAATGTTACATTTGTCTTGGACAACATGTTGGAATTCATTAGCCTTATTGGGAAGGGATAGTTTAGAAAAAAAAATTTGAAATGTTTTTATAGAAATATTTTTTCTCACAGTAAATGACCACAATATTGAAAAAATTTAACTTTCAACTGAGGCTAAGAAAAAAGATCTAAATTTCCAATATTGTGTACACTGACAGTGCTAAGACAGGAACATGCACATGACTTATACCTCTCATTTAAATATTTTATCGTATAAAGTATTTATACTAAGTCTGAGATAGGTGGTTTTGGGGGGAAGGGCAAAAATCTGTCAGTTAATTGTGTAATTTAATTCTCTGGTATTGTAAGTGGTTAGCAATCTATTTTGAATTTATAGTTTTGCTATTTTAAAAGAAATGTAGTCTTGTAATCTAAAATAACTGAAAGTTGTTAAATGTATATTTTGGTTGTATTATAATAAAACACAAACATTAGTGTTCTATGGTTATAAACAGAATGTTGGTTCGTGTGCAAGTTTTGTTTTTAAACCCTAAACATGGTAACCAAATTTTATGCATAGAATTGCACTAAATCAAATACCAAAGAAAATATTTCCTTACAAGTTTTTAGTAGTTATATTTTGTACTGTAAGTATACAATAATTTCCCTAATGAAAGAAAAGAATAAGTTTCTCTCCTCAATTAATACAATTATTATATTTAAGCTTTACTGTGATTTAAATTTAGGTGTTGGCAGACTGGATAAACATTACTACTATATGTAACTACTTTTAAGATTTCCAATTACCATTCTATAAGTGAAATTTTATAAAATACTCATCCATCTATATGTTTAGCTGTATGAGTATAATTTTTTAAAGGAGTAAGCTGAGGTTCTTATTTTTGCTTTATAAAGACCTTTTTGAATTTCTTTCAAAGAAAATTGTATTTCTTGTCAATTTAGTACACAAATGAAGGATATTTTATATTTGCAAATAGATAATATTATAATACCCCCAACCTGCAAACCTGGTAATGAAATAACTTGGAGGGATGTTGTATAGAGAAACGTCAAGTTTTCTGAGTACTCTGACAAGCTTCAAACATGAGAATTTATAGTAATGTATACATATAAAATTTTAAAAGAAAAAAAAATTATAGAAGGCATTCTTGGGTAGATCATGTCCAAGTTATTTCTTTAAATAAAATACAACATAAGGTTAATAAGTGAAAACATTCCAGTTGTATTTGTTTGAATATAAAAAGACAGGTGAGTGATTCTCAAGATAAAAGAAACAAGAGTTTAGCATTAAAGTTGAGAATCAAAAGCATCTGTAACCACACAACTTGATATCTGCATTAATATGATTTACTAGTCCAGGAAACTCTTGCCTAGGAAGATGAAGGTGCAGATAACTTTGTTTATTTCAGAAGCTCATATGCTTTTCCTTTGTGTGTATATTGGTACAGACACATCTTGGAGAGGGATCTGGCAATATCCAATGAAGTTTAAAAGGTACATACTCTAAGAACCAGCTTTTCAAAATTAAGTATATACCCCTGAGACCCTTCTCCACGTGTGTCATAATAGATATTTTCAAAAATATTTACTGTAAGATTAATTATAATAGAAAAAAGAGAACAATCTATGTGTTCTACAAAACAATAATAGATAAATAGATGTCACTAAATAAATAAAGAAGTTTATTTTTGGGGGGGTAATTAACTTTTAAAAAAAATATTTATTTATTTATTTTAATGGAGGTACTGGGGATTGAACCCAGAACCTTGTGCATGCTAGGCATGAACTCTACCACTAAGCTATACCCTTCCCTGAATATAGAAGTTTAAATGAAAAAAAAAAAAAAGCTGCATTCATTAACACAGAAAACTCTGAAATAATGTTAAAGGAATAGAATCAAGGAGTATAGGGATGCAAACAGAATTTTACTGGGTATATCAAGTTTAAAGAAGCAAATGATGCTGCTTATGATACATACATTCATATGTAAGCAGTAAACATATAAACATTTCTGGAAAAGTTAAGCACCATATTCATATTTTTCTTAAAGAAATAAGAGAATGAAGACACAGGGGGCTACCACTGTTTCAATAATGTGTTATTTCTTAAAAAAAATCTAAGCTCAATATTATGTTTATATTATATATACTTATAGGAACTAGTATATTTAAATGTTAATATTTGAAGAAGTTGGGCACTAGATTACAGTTTAAATATATTACTCTCAACATAATTCTGTGTGCTTGAACTGTTCCATAATGAAAAAGTAGATGAAAGATCTAAATCTCAATAAAAGAATAAATTACTCAAGTCAATTCTAAAGAGAAAAAGAAAAGAGAAAGAAAGTGAGAAAAGAATAACATATAGAAATGTTAGATATGCAGCCATTATAACAGATGAAACCTTCTAGTTCTAGTCATTCTTACATCATGGACATTCTTGGACATCCTGATTATTTTTAAAACGTGACAGCTAGGACCTTGTTTGGCCTCAGGGACCCTGGAATAATGCCTATTTTTCAAAGCAATACCTTATTGTTATGGAAATGCCTAAGGCATCTAGGGTATCTGAACTATGTGTTTAATATGCCAAAGGACTCCAAACAGCTGAGTTGGCCTTTCTTGGACTGAACACTGTTCAAGGTTGGTATTTAAAATACAGAGTTTCTTCTTTCTGGCTTACATATCAAATTTATAAACCAACTCATGCTCTTCAGGTAACGTGAAGAGGGGAGAGAAATATTTATATCTTGCAAAATGTCTTTAAATGATCCCACAAATCATTATTTTCTATAGGAAAGATTCTATATGAATATAATTTACATTTTAAATTTATTCTGGATGTTTTGCTCGTGTGCAGAGATAGGGAAAAATTTAGCCCAACATTTTTGCTCTTTACAAATTCTCAATTTTACTGGGTCCTGTTAGTGAGGGACTAGTATTTAAATATGTATTCTAGGAGTATAAAGGAGCATATGCAGAGAGTATTAATTTAAAGTACATAAATTTGAGTAAGAAGAAAATGAAACCAATTTACCAGATGGGAAGTTATCATTTAGAATCAGGAAAAGGGTTGTTTAATGGGCCATATCCCTCTAAGCTTTTAATATATTGAAACAAATTACCATTGGATAATTATCTTCAATTACCGTATTGTGTTATAATTGCAGGCCTTTCCAACAGGTCATTTGTACTAATGAAAAACAAATAAAAACTTAGACTCTCCTGTGGCAATTTGTGTTGTTGTAGTTAGTTTTTATAGACATTTGAAAGTAGTCTGACGTTTCAGGGACCAGAGGCAAAGCTGTAAGTACAAGAATAACCATCTTTCATTCAGGTGTGGAAATCATAGAAAGCTGGACAGGGAAGGCAAGCGTCTGATTGCTAGGAACTGTATGATTCAGACTAGATAGAGATTTAATCCTACAGACAGAAGGAGACATTCTGGTATTCTTAAGGAGAAAAAAATGACATAATGAGATTTTCATCACATTTGCATCTGAGAAACAAAGTGAAAAAATGAGCTAAATTTCTATGTGTTGCAACTAGATGGATGGCAGTTAAAAACAACAACAGGAATTTTGGTGGGAAAAGAGGTTAAGGTGGGAAGATGATGGCTTCAGCATTGAACATTGTGAGTTTGGGATGATTTAAGGAGTGTCTGGTAGAGAGTTTGATGCTCAGGAGAAAGGAAAGCTGGAATTATTTTGTGGTCACTGATGGAGACGACAGAAGCATAGGAGTAGTGGAGACAGAAGTGGAGTAGGGAATGCAGTGAAGGTAATTAGAGCTGGGTGGTCAGCTTAGCCTCAATTAGCGTGTATCCTGATGTAAGTTATCATTAATTTCTCTATACCTCCATGAGTTGTCTCTAAGGTATCAACCAGCTTAAAATTTTATGAATTTTTCTTATTTCTTAACTGAATTTCCAGAAGACAGAATTTCTATTCTTAATATTTACTACAGTCTCTGGCAACTAAGGGAAAAAAAACCATTTAAATCTGTGTTGTGAAACAACGAAAGAGTTTTCCTCAAAACTATTATGATTCATTATTTAAGGAACTATTAAGAAGAAATTCCCCCAAATGGAAGCATTTTCTAAAATTCCTACCCCATGTGCTTCTTTTTAAATCAAATTGGTAAATTGATGAAGGTCTATTTTCATTTTGAATGTTCATCTGTTTTAAGCAAAACAATTACAAACTGGTGGTGCTGAGTTTTCTCCTTTGATTTAGGTGGACTCAGTGCCATAATCTACAAGGTTTGAACTGGCAGAAAGGAAGCTCCATATAATTTGTAATGGATGCTTTGTTTAAACACAAGGACTTGGAAGAGTTCTTTGAAGAAAATGTGAAAGATTTAAATTCACAGCACAGTCAAGAATATAGACTTCTCTGATAGATATTCTTTGGTTAGTAATATTTTAAATTATTTTATTTCTGCCATAGCACTTCCCTATTCAATTTACATTAAAGAGCACATAAGTCCTAAATGGAATCTTCTTGGTAAAACCAGACCTTTAAATGCTAAATGAGAGTAAACCAAAGTTATAACACAATTTATCCATTTTTGACCCTATTTATATTGTCTCAAAAATGTAGTTGAATTTGGCATACTGGTACATTTACACATTTTATCAATAAAATAGCAAAAGGTAATTTCTTACACTGAGAACTATGAAGATGTACTACTTAAGATGCGTCATACATTTTGAAAAGTGAAATATTGACATATGAGAGTTTTGATTTTTTATTTGAACCCAGCATGATGTACGTAACTTAAGCAGAAATCAGCTTTTCAAGGTCCTACTCCTTGAAAAACAAGCATTCCTGCCTATTGGCACAGCTTGAAACTACTTACTTTTTTGCAACTATATAAAAACAAACAAACAAAAAACAAGCTACAAGCCTCTCTTCGGACACTTAATATTCATTAAAACTGTTTGCAAATGTAGTTATACAGAGCATTTTACATATCTAGTGAACGAATAATCTAATTAACAGAAAATAAAAACTGTTACTGAGTATGTAGAGAGAGTTGTCTGAGATTTATATGATGTAGATGTGTATCTGGGGAATCTAAGTAGGAACTTCACACCAAGCACATTTAGAAACCCTTTTTTGTTTCCCACTTTATCTCACCAAGGGAGCAACT